TTTCATGTTTGTCTGCAAAGGACAACAGCTGCAGGCCAGTATTTACAAAGCAAACAAAGACCTCCCCCTCCAGTCTTGTGTACAGTATACCAAAAAAAAGACAACCTAACTTTAGAAGTTTTCGAAATTTTTTCAGGACTATACTTTACTTTACATTTACTTTTTCATCCTCAGTTGCCATTAAGCATTGAGGGGGGAAAACAATTTTCTTTGGTAGGCCAGCTCTGCAGCTCTTTCAATTGGGACATACTGATTGCAATTTCTCAAAGTTTCCTTGGCTCCCTCAATCCATCTTTTGTGTGGCTTATACTTCGGCCTCTTTAGTGACATCAAGTTTACCAAATACATGACAACTGTTTACACCATGACAAAATTCAAGAAGATTGTAATATGAGGAATTTGATTATTGCCAACACTGTACAAGATTTTCTGAGAGCACTTTTGGTCATATGGCCTAACAATAATATATGTGAGGCACCGTGGTGAATTCAGGCGCTCGTTAAAGTAATGAAATCGAAGGTTCTGGCATTTTTCCTCTGGTTTGAGAATTTTTATCGAATTTTTGTTTTATAGCTACACACCTTCTACTTTAAAAAACATTCCGACATGGATTCTACAGAAAAACGTTGATTAACACTTTCCTTACCACGAGCCGCAATCGGTCCACCTCGCTGGACCGAGAGCCGCAAAATATGGCTCAAGTGGCTCGCTATCTATTCCAATCCAGTAATGAAATTCTCGGCCGATACAAGTTTTCAAAATAATTGAATACACTTCCTGTTAGCAGATACGAAAGAAAATATAGCACTGAGAGACAATTTTCAGTCATTTCAGCGCTTTTTTTGTCTCCTTCGAATCGTAAAAATGAGAGGAAAAACGCTCTCCTGACTTCAGTATATGTCTCATATTTCCACTTCTATATTAAGTACACATACACAACTTTCAGCATTTCTTTCAGCGTTACTTGAGGCAACCTACCTGGGAAGTTTGAATGATGCAGTTGTTGCACTTTTTTAGGTATGACTTTTCAAAGCTGGAAAATTGTTGATTTCATATGACACCTTCGATATTGCATAATCACTTTTAGAAAACATGAAAACTAATATAATTGGAATAAATCTTCAATATTGTATCACCATCTGATATATTATTTTTTAACCTTCAGTTTGATGGGCCATATGATATGGTTTGAGTGTGTTTAGCTGGATGTTTTGACATTTTCCCTTGGTGGGGTAGGGGTGTAAAGATAGGCCAGGGAAAAGTCCTGGGCCAGACGTGGATTTTGGCCTGGTAGGAAAAGAGTTAAAGGGGGGAAAAAATTTAAATTTGCAGTTTCCAAGTCCCATCAATGTCATCAAACTCTGACAGTAATTAATTTTACCTCTGAAATCAGGCAACTTCTACTTCCTTCAATTGCAAATATCTCAACTTCTCTTCTGGACAGAAGGGCATTTTATAAAAATCAAATTCAAAATCAATGTAAATAAAAAAGCTTCAAGATGATACCAATAATTCTGCATACCCAAAAATTGATGAGTGGCTATTTCTAACGCTAGTTGACAAATGTTATAAATTGTTATGTCCCAGATTCCCTCCCCCCCCCCCCCCCCCCCCTCGATAATTTTCAATTTTGCATCTGTCACTTTTATCATGATGTCCACCATCAGGTGATTAGGAAGGTTAAGCAGGTAGGTAGAACTGGGTAGGTACTACAATACCCAGTGATGATAATCCTGGTACTACCTTAGGTAGTAGCAGTGCTATCATTGGCACTAATCCTCGACTATCATTCTGGGAAGGTATACGCACCAGCACCATGCATTTTTTGCAGGCAATTATTTTTTTTGGGGGGGGAAGGGGGGTAAGTGTTTTACAGCACTCGCAACTGCATAAGGTCATATAGCGTGCGGGACACATAAACATTTTCAGTCAGTAGGAAATTTTGAATTTTGCTTGGGTGGTGGCCAAAGCCAGATCTTATCGACTTTAAACCACTAAGGGATCTTTAACCTGCGCAACTTGCACACGGGACCTCCGAGATTTTTCGCCCTTGTCCGAGAAGGCTAGGTGCAGATCTTTCCTACCAGAAGATCAGGGATGTGGCTGAAAGACAGCAGTAAGAAAGAGCCCAGGAGTAGCAGTGGAAAGGCTGAAGAAAGAATTAGGAGCCCAGAGGAGGGGGCAAAGGAGGTCATGGGGGTGGGGGCAGAAATAGGAGATGAAAGCAAATGACAGAACATTTTTAGAGAGCATGAAAAGAGACAATTTTAGAGAAGATATTTTTTTTTCAGGCGCTAACCGGATTCGAACCTGGGACCTTTGAATAAGAGGCGAACACCTTGCTTAACTTCTAGGCCACAGGCATTAGGAGGTGCCAACACGAGTCAAAGCATTTAGTACAATGGGTGTTGTGCCCGTAGTTGGTGGCACACACATATGCACCGCACATCCTTCTCCCCCCCTCCCCCCTCCCCCCAAGACACGCACACAACATTTTTTTAACATTACAAGTAGGCCCCTGAGCTATATATTTTTTTTTTCTGATGAAAACACTCTACAGACAATAATCAGGCTATAAACAGTTTTTGCCAAATTTTTCAAATCAAAGACCGTCAGGGTCTGTTTTTAAAAACGAAGTGACTATTCGGACTCAAGTCCGAATATGAAAAAATGTTATTCGGACTCTGATTCTTGTCCAGCATGACATCACTTCCGACTTTTATTCCTGCGACTCATGAATCCGGCTTCCTGTCCTGCCTCACTCGTGACTCGCCTCAGGCTGGGTAGAGACCGGGATCACTTCCGGCAAAAAGGCGTTTTGTGCAGGAGCCGAGTTTTAATCTTATGATGAATTTGAGGCCGGCCTGAAAAGTTATAGCGCTTCTAATAAATGTTTATTTATCAAGAGGTCATCAGAAGCAATTAAAGATGGCTCGTTTGCGTGTGTCGGGGTCGGAGGGGCGGCCTGCACACGTGTGGCTGTGTGCGTGTCGGGGAGGGGGGTGGGGGGCACTATTGGTCCGGGCGTTGAACGTCGCATAGGCGTTGAACGTCGCATAGGCGTTGAACGTCGCATATGCGTCAGTCTTTTTTCCCCCGGCAACTGATCATTATTACAATAATAAGCTAGTCTTGACGTAGATCTACGTAATGAATTGTGCACTGGTCTATGGAATCAAAAGTTGCCGTATGCTCAGCTCTACACAGCAACACAACTTTTTCTTGGTAAACAATCGATATGACACAGGCTTGTGTATTTGAACAAATCGGTCTTTTCACAGCTCATAATATGCAGGTGCCAGGTGGTCTGCTAATCTTCAATTTTACCTTTTTCTACAACAAAGAAAGTGGGAAACATGGGGGGTGGGGGGGGGGGGCGTATCAATGATCGGCCGAAAAGGTGTGGGGGAAACTAAAAAATGGCGGAAAATTGGAAGCACTGAACGTTAAATCTATAGAACGAAGACACTTCCTTTTTCCGGACCTGAGTCCGAAAAACATTTTTTCATATTCGGACTCGAGTCCATATAAGAATTTTTTTTATTCGGACTCGAGTCCAAATATGAAAAAATGTTATTCGGACTCGAGTACGAATAACGACGGCCTTTTAAAAAAGATCACCAATAACACGCAGTACAATAGGCTTGTGGTATAAGGCCTATTGTGTGGGTGTGTATATGTGTTTCAAAGGCGGGAGGGGAGTGGCTAATTAAAATCAAAGAGAGGCGCAAGATGTGAGACACTTGGAATCTGGGGTCATTAGTACCGGTACCTGCAGTATTTGAGGTCCTGTGCTAGTAAATATCCAGTATTGAATTTCACCGGTACCATCCAGCACTACAGGTTGCTGAGTAGACTCTAGCATCCTTTTTTTTTTTTTTCAAGGTGAAATTCCCGTAGCTATAGATAGACGCATCAAAATTTCTACTTGATTTATTATTTCTACTTTCATTTGTTGGCTCGGCTTACATAGATCTACAAGTTGAGAAAGAAAAAAAACCAGCTGTATCAGAGAAAGAGGGTATGTGTGAACTGAGGACTGAAAAACTTATCCATAAATTATTATTGTCCCACTGCTGCTGTCATCCACGAGATGTAAAGCCAAAAAAAAATGCAACAAATTTTGTTGCTGGCAGTGTGAAACTCCAATTCTCTGAGGACAATGTTCCAGGAGTGAAACCAAACACAGTCATTTTTAGGATAATAAAACATTCAAATATGGATCTGACTTACCTTATTCGATCCTCACGCTGTGTGTTTGGCTTCAGCCCTCGATCATACTCGCATACACACGCGATTCGAAGCCACCCGTCAGTCGCAACCAACGTAAACATTGTTCAAACGAAACAGGAACTTGTCACGCTTGACGTCACCTATGGCAACGACGCGGGCGCCATCTATTTACCCTTCTGTTGCGAGTCAAAGCAAATGACTTGAACTTGAACGTAGAAAGGGTGGTGTCCAAATCCAGCAAACGCCGTCTCTACCTCACCAGCACACACTATAATAATAGGACCACTTTACACATTTACATATACTTCAACTTAATCATCCCCTCTGTCTCTGCTCTTACCAGAAAATGTTTTAAACTTGAAGATTTATATTATAAAAGTAAAGGAGTACAATCACACAGACAATAACATAAAGTAAGCTAGAATCTAGATCTCGCCAGTAGGCCTAGTTAAGCTGCGGTAACGAAGATGACACAGCAGACAACGGTTTTTAATTTGACTACCGTTAACTGAAGTAGAGGTTTAAAAAATTAAAATGCTCAACACGTAGGCTAGATATCTAGCATAGAATAGAATATCATCTGCTAACCTACATTTGTAGTTTGTAGGGATTCTTGCTTATTTTTTCGAACTATCACATAGGCCTATTTAGTAGGGAGAGAGATTCGAGGAGGAGGAGGGTCGAGGGGATCAAACCTGTTAAAACCCTATCACGTTTACTTATTTATTTTGAGCCGTTATATCATACAATGTCTCAGTTTTTTATTTCCTATTTCTCGATCACATGATAGCTTCCAAAATGGCGGATGTTATCATTTGTTGACGAGAAAGATCAGCTGAGTGTGACTCTCCAAGTTTGAGAAGGACTATGAGAGTCGACATGGAACAATTGCGTGATCGCGATCGACAGAAAAATAGTTCGCAGTTTCATGGGAATGACAATAAAAGATCGTCAGATGATGTCCTTTCTGTGGGTTCGTGGTCCGAGTTTTGCGCCGGTAGCGGTAGCCTGTCACTGTCATCATCAGCAGAGTCTGGCTCTCGCCCGGGCTCGTTGTCATCACGTCAAGGTAGTGTTAGCAGCCTGAGTAAGAATAGCCCAGCTAGAACAAAGTCATTGTCACAGGATATGGGCTTTACCAGTACAAGATCCCCTGGTTCAAGTGCACGTAAGTCGGCTCATTCTGTCACCAGTTTGCGCCATTCAGCGGAGTCAATTACTGCTGGTGCTACTGCCACTACAGCTACTGCCGCTACCGCTACTGCTACTGCCTATGGGCCTGCTGCTGCTGCTGGTGCCAGCAATAGTGTAAGTGATGGAAGAAACAGGTATTCAGCACCTACCAAAGGCAGTCCAAGACTTTCACTGTCTGAAGATTCTGATGGACATTCAGGCACAGGTCCTCAAAATGCCAACAGGCATTCAGCTTTTCGTGCAAATTCTTCAGACTCAAAATGCACCCCACTGCAGACGAAACAGTTTGAGTCATGGAGGTCTAGTCAACAAACAGATCTACAGCGACAGCAACAATTGATGACTACGATGGCACCCACCCAGAATTTGTATCCCATTCTGGATGTTGTGGCAAATAATGTTACTGATGGAGATATTCCTGCATTTACAAACATGGGTGGGACTTCTTTGACAAATTATAATGCACTTCCAGGAGGACAACAGACTGGTTCAGGTTCAAGACCCAGATTCTTCGATCCATATATATTCAAAGGTTCTAGTGGACGACAGCTTAAAAAACAAAACCAGTCTCGAGGCTGCCACCAAATACCAAACACAAATTCTAGCTCGTCATACCCACCTAGTACCAGTAGGAACCAAATTGATGATGGAAATGTGACCAGAGACACACATCACCTCATGAACCAAATGGAACAGACAAGTCTTCAGGGCTCTGCTTTCAGAAGCCAGCCAAGCATATCAAATGTGAATCATGATCTCAGTAGGTTACCAAAATCTTCCAGCAATCTAGACTCTATGCGGGGTGTTGAACACCGCCTCGAACCAGACAACGTGAAAACTAAGCTCATGTCCGCTTGGAACAATTTTAAATATGGTAAGCTCATGGTTTGATAAAAACGAGTTTCTTTTCTTTGATTTACTAGAATGTGTTGAAATTATTTATTTGATCCATTGCCAGAAACAAAGCATTTGGAAGGACTTCTGTAACGAGCAACCACCCCAACAAACACAATAGAGAAGAGACCTAACCCTAACCCAAACCGTAACCTTAACACTACCCCAACGCATACCTCTAGCCCTGTATTCTACTGTGTCTCATTGTGGTTGCTGGTTACGGAAGTCCTCCCAAGCATTTTCCTCAATGTGTGTGAATGTATTGTTTTGTACTGCTATAAAAAGCATACACTAGAGTAAAGGCACTCTTTGCGGCTATTTTTCACTTTAAATTTGCTAGAGAAGCCAAACGAATTATGAATAGAGATTGAAAAAAATTTGGTTTGCAAACTTGCACATCATCTGGCCACTAGATGTATTAAGTATACGAATTCCTTAGGTATAATGGTCTAGAGTATTCTCTACTTTTTTTTTACCAAGAAGGATGCATCATTCTAAAATACCATGTGAAGGGACCAGTTTGCGATCGGGGCACCTTTATGCGGTCATCAAGGACACATTATGAGGCCAGCTAAGTGTGATCCGATCATATGGGGAATGTAAGCGGCCAGGGGTTTGTTTTTTTGTAAAGCAGCCCTGCCGGCATGGTGGCCTCATCATTGGGGGGACTTTGGCTAAAAGCTTCAAACCCCGACCACTGACCTAAAAAAAAATATTTTAAAGTCAGTAATCCCGACAGTGTGATACTCTTGGGCTTCGGCTTTTTATTGACGTTCCCCCTCCCCCCTCCCCCCT